TCTTTAAGGATCAATCTAATAGATCTTGTCGGACTCTAGGCGGTGACCATAAAGTCGTGATTATACACACAAGACGATAGTGTGTATAAGGATTGGTAAATACTCAATGTGGTATCTGAATACACGGTTATGAGTCTATCGGTCGTGCGTACTAGCAGAAGTACCACGATTGTGGAAGAGTACCACCGATCTAGAAGAGAGATCAAAAGGGATGATAAACTTGATTCAATTTAACTAAGTAACATAGCAGTATTTATATCACAAGAAACATAGCAAAAGGTCACATGATAAATCAACAGAATCAGAGTGTTGAGAGTCTCTTGCTTAGGTAGGCAATCATATGCGAGATCGTTGAGGATCAATCTGTTAGATCTTTATAGAAGAAGATCTATATGTAGAGAGGGGTTATATGAGTGGGTCCTTCGTCATGTGACCCCACAACATCCACATGTTGACAGGTTATCTATATTAAATATATATTTTTAAGTTTAACTCTACTAAAATAATATTCTTATTTAAAACCTACTAACTTATATAGTAATAGGGCTAATTTATAAGCCTATTAGAGTTTTCTAGTAAGAGTTATTAAGAATATATTATAATTTTATTATATTTCCTTTAGTAAGATAGTTTTCCTCTAGTCTAGTTATATAGTAACTAGAACGAAGGTAAATAATAGTTTTTTATTCTGCTAAATCATAGATTTTATGCCCGATTTTGTGCAAAAATAGGCGGGTTTAGGCAGGTTTAGTACTTAGCGTGTACGGGCTGGACTAGGCAGGACTTAGCGTAGTTAGACTTTAGACATTAAAGGGGTGCCTATAGACGGGTTATAGATACCTAAAGGGTGTCTATGGACGGACTCTGCCGACGTCTACTCATGAAACAACGGGCCAAGCTGATACTTCTGTTAGGAACCATACGGGATTAGTGAAACGCAAATTATCACGCGACGGTATCCGTTCTGAGCTTAGACGATCGGAGCGATTAATTAAAAGAGGTAGAACTTAATTACGACTGTCTCGCTCTATGTATTTCTCCGCATTTGGTTAATAGCAAGCCGGACCTAAGACGCTAGGATTTCGGAAATCCAAAGTGTCGGTCATAGTTAAAGGTGCCGAATGCATTGTTGTATTGGCTAGCATTAGTAGAGAATGTATGCGGCTCCTCTCCGTTACTTTACGCTAGGCCAAGATTAACGTCCTGCTCTAGGCTCGCGTGCGCTTAGGCGCCCAGCTCAATTGGCCTCTAATACCGTTGATGCCAACTAGTTTTGCCCAAACGCCGTACTCGCCACTCTTCATGTGCGATATGGTGGCCGTGAATCCTCTCTGATGGCTGCAGAAGAGCCTGGCTATCGGTATGTGCACATGGCAGTCGTTGATAGGCTTCTCGGCACTGGCGACGTCGGCGATAATGGAACCTAGCTGGAGGATCCCCCCCGGCCTCAACGGGAGGAATAGAGAAGTTGGGAGCGACATGGTATTTCGGAATCGGCTGGCTTGCCATGGTCCCTTTGTGTTAATGATGCTCAGGAATTCTGCTTAGAAGTGCGTGGGTCAACGCGGTCGCGGTTACAGTGGCCGTTCAGTAGTATTTGGAACACAAGAACTTCAGTCCCCAAACCTACCGCATTTCTATACCGCCTGCCTAAACTTTCCATCTGCTGCCTGCAAGTAGAAATGTGCTCTGACAGTGATTGGGGCTGAGTGTTGGCATTTGCTTGCGACATTACTGGCCAATCATTTAGCGCTGAACGAAATGGCGATGGAATCTCCCGCCTCCACCGCAAGTGCCTTGGGGGTAGCTAATCACGATATCGCCGAGGCGGATATCATGAGCAGCTGAAGGAATTCCACCTCCAATACCGACCATCAGTCCGACTCGAAGTGACTTGGAGAAAGTGCGAAGCATATTGTTTGCGACCGTCGTGGCTGAGGTAGTTCCGTGCTGGCCTCCAGGCAAGCAGGCGATGACGATAGGGTGTTTGCCGATTCGGCCCAATGTGTAGGTATTCGATTCTGCTGCATCTTGCTCTTCAAGTATCCCAAAGTGCTCATCTAGCATTTCGGCGGCAGCTGCAGCCTCGATCGGAAGAGCACAGATCCAGCCGATCTGAAAGGCATCTCGCGGAGGATTGGCCATGTAGAGGGTCTAGCGTGATTTCGCAAAAAGAACGGGTTCTTGACGAGAAAAGTAGGAGAATTGAATAGCTACTGATGTTGACAAGTCGGCTCCTAGAATACAAGGTGAAAGGGGCCTCATTGGGTGGGAGACGGCAGCAACCCCGCCTCCGGCCGCAGAAGCCCCTCAACCCGGGTTGAGAGAGCAGCATAGCGCGGCAAATGAGCAAATGCTACTGTATTAGAGAAAGTGGCCAGCCTGTAACTTGGGTGCGTCACACGTGACAATACGGTCCGCGATCGATTGACGTGTGGAAGGAGAGAAACCCTCACAAATCTCCGTCTTTTTGCCAACACAGAATATCATGGAAGAGAAAAAGACATGCCGATTGGGATTCAAACAATATACAATGATGAGGGTGTTAAATACCACGTCGTTTATTTCTGTGTTGATGCAATTTACGTCAGAGTTATGCACGGATGGGTATTTCAAGAGTCCTACAGTCAATGAGCTGAATCTCATGGAAGTGTGATAGCTGGCGGGCGTATAGAGATACACGAAGTCGATAATACTACATGTGGGGGGAGAATGAGGAGAACTAGTGATTTTAGAGGGGTGGGAAGTCGAAAGGCGGGCAGACGACCTTGACCAAGGGTTCGAGGGGAAGGGGAATCGATGTTCAGTTTAACCCAATGGATGCCGTAACGGAAGTCGAAAACGGAATGATCCTCAATCCGATATTCAAGAAGCATATTCGAAGGCTACAGAATTGGCATATGTCTAGTCGTTGTGAAGAATAATTACCCGGGTTAGCTGAGGCAACTCATCTGTAATTATTCTGCTTGGTGTAACGTTCCCAGCATTCGTTAGATTCCCAGCGAGCTTCACCCCTTAACCAAGGAATTTTCACGGGTTTGAACACTTGGCGCCTCCTCGACAAGGCTGCAAGCTTATACGAGCCAATATACCCCCGCTACCCCTTCCCAACTTCTTTGATAACTTCTCTTGAAATTAGCTGCGCAATAAGCCAGGAGGTAGTTGATTATGATGTTTTCGAGATATCGAAATGCATTGCCCCAGATGAAGCAGCCTCCTGTGGGCTTTTTCTCAGCTGGGGTGCCCCCTTTTTTGCATCTGTGACAAATTTGTCGACTGGCTTCCCATTGTGCCAGGTCATATTTTAGTGGGAACTCTTGTATTTCAGATGTGTGGATTCCTCGACCAACAAATCTCCGTATGATCCACGTGGTTTGGGCACTATCCGTCAGGAAGGGGTGTATATACTGCATGACTCGCGGAGTAACCTAAACGTCGGGAGGTGAACGGAATATGAGAAAAGCGTTGACGTGAATACCGATACCCTCGCCTGGAATACGAAACGGTGCCACTTCGGGTAGCTGACAGCCTAAAACGTATCTTGTCTCCTGGCCTTGAAAATCCACCGTTTGACTAGGTACAAAACTTCAACAGGCTGAGTGCCAGCCAGAGACCCGCCAGAGAGACATGATAAAATAGGGGAAACACCTCAGCTTAGTCCGTGGGAAAGAGATGTTCCAAAATAGTTGCCTATTTCGTACAGAAAAGTCGCAGATAATGGAGATGTGGAGTTGACCTTGATTTCATTGGCCGCCCGCGTTTTCCGAGCCCCATCCATGTAAACCACTCGGAAGCGGAAAAACCTTTGCAGGGTAATTTGCCGATCGCCCCACTATCCTCTACAACCTCAATCGTATTCGGATTCGCTTCTTTTGGCAATTGAATGTTTGGAGAGGTCAAGTACGTGGATGAAACTATTCTTGCCGATCAATGCTTTATCAGATTGTCTTTATGAAATCATATCGGACTGCCTTAGTTATGAAGTTGCTGAAATTAGAGATTGTCATGAAATAAACAAGCAAGAAACGAAGTTCGGGTGGATGCCCTCAACGCCCTAGTTCAGTAATGTTCCTGCTTTAGGTGCGGTATAGGCACAAAATCCCTTGGAAGTACGGAGGAATCCTCGGATTATCAACGGGTCGACGAAAATGCTTGGCGCGGCACTAACGGACTCTGAACGCCGAATACGATCGTGAAACCGCTTCACGACTCATTTCTTGGCAGAACAGTTGTGGATCAACCCATCATCATGTTTCGTGTGAAAGAGAAGACTTGTTTCAGCCTAGCCATACGGGTGTCTCTTTAATCCGAATGAGGTAGGGGCCACTTCGAACTTTATTTATACCCGAATACAATGTACGAATACGAAGGCATGATCCCATTATCAGAAAATTGTTTTCATCTTCTAAGAAGTCCAGTTTATAAGGCTCATTGATCACCGATCGTCATGGGGAGATTTGAGTAAAACCCATTTATTCGTTGCGCCCAATCCGGAAATTAAAAGTGTTCCTTCTTCTTGATTAGTGTTGAATCCAGATTGTGACGTACGATTCTCCGACATGGAAGTTGCTTCTGGTCGCCGATCGCACCGAAAGTCTAGAACAGGATGCTTAGAGTGCAAAAAAAGAAAAATTAAGGTACGCTCTTGCTTCTCGTATTTGCCCTCAACAAATCTAAAGCTTTCTCAGTGTGACGAGGACAAGCCATTTTGCCAGAAATGTATTCGACACGGAGTGATTTGCTCCTTTGCGGATGCATCACGATCTCTTACTCTTGGTTGCCAAACAAGTTGTATTCCCATGAGTCTCAACAATTCGCCAAACAAACTCCTACGTTCCATTGCTACTCACTCCATCAGTTCTCACAATATGATCCCACCCGGAGCAGTCTCTGACATGGAACTGTTACATCATTACATGGTAGCAACTTGCTATACCTTGTCGCAAACCCCTTCGATCCAAACCATCTGGCGGGACGAAATACCTCGGGTTGGATTCATCATGCCCACCGTGCTACACGCTCTGCTAGCAGTTGCGGCTCAACATCTCTCACGCTTTGATCGATCGCGAAGGGCAAGCTGTATGATCGATGCTAACAGGCATTACAACACAGCTATCCGCATATTTATGGCAAGTCGAACAGCTGTGACGCCCTTAAGTGGAGCTGCACAGCTGTTGCTTTCAATTTTGACATGCATCTTCGCATGTGCGAACGCCGAATCTGTCAGAGGACTTCTAGTCTTCAATGCACAAGGGGATCTTGCAGACTGGGTTGTTCTGTTCCGTACAATAACTCCTGTCGTTGAAAGTGATACCGAGACAATCTGGCTGAGGCGACTGGAACCATTGTTTGTCCAGATGAGGTGCTCAGCAGACGCTCGCCGGACCCCACAAGCGCTTGAGTTGGGCCAGTCATACATCTGGGAGTTGAAACTGAAGGTCCTCTCCGAGCACTCGACCAACGTCCGAATATGCAAGATCTACGCAGATACGATAGATGAACTAGGAAGAGTGTGGGGAATTGCCATTAAAAAAGACGGGGAATGTAGTCTTCAAATTGCGGGCATATTTTCATGGCTGTTTGAGGCCTCAAACCCATATTTGGAGTTCTTGAAACAAAGAGAACCCACGGCCCTGGTCATTTTCGGACACTATATTGTCATTCTACGACGGTTCGAATGGACGTGGTGGATGGAAGAACTCGGTGGTCGACTTATGACTCAGATATATTCTCTATTGAGTGAGAAGTATCGAAGTTGGCTAAAGTGGCCTCAACAACAGATAGGGTGGGTGCCACCGGACCATATGAATTGAGTATTATCACATATTTGAGTTGTTTCGTTTCGTCTCTGGAGATTGCTCAGACAGCTCAGGGATCATCGACCATCCCGACTCTACCAAGTGAAATTGTACATGAACACATGAATAATTCATATTTCTTCAAATACCAAACATTACCATTTGTTTCATTACAGCTCAGTACATCAATTAGTTCGTGCACTCTGCTTTTTACACAGCGTAATGCTTACGAGCCGTTAGAGTTCGATCCACCAGAAATATATGCTTGAAACCGTTCTTTCAGTAGCATCAACGATCGTTTGTTCTCCGTGTCCGGACAGTCTCTTCAAGCCAACATATCTGTAGCATCACTGAATTGATGTTCAATGCCGACCTCTGCCGAGGTGAATGATAGGTGATCGCAAGCGGCTTTTTCCATAAGAGGGAAATTAACTTCGTTAGCCCTCCACCATTTCAGGACCCATTTTTAGGCCGCATCTCCGATCACATGGTGGTACTAGCTGATTGGTGGTGACTCGAAATATTTATCAATACCCAATGAAAGACTCCATTAGGCTAGCGGAACTTTATGCAGAGTTTTCCACATAGTTTCCGACATCCCCGCTAAATGTGAATTCTCATGTTCATGTAAGAGTAAGACCACCCAGGGAGATTCTTCCTGTTGTAGCTCAGAAGTATGTTTTGTGTTTTTATTGGGGGGGGGGGGGGGGGGAATAAGAGATTATACATAAAATAATGAGTCAGGTTGATTGGAAATCAACTTGGTTATTCGTATAGACCCTTCGAAGCTAATTCCGTGGTGTGGCTCGCTTCTTGATCTGCTAACCTCATATCACAACGCACAAGACTACATCTCTCGCGCTTGCAAAGCTCATACGTGACGTGCTCTCGATTTCTGTAACTGGCGTAGGCGTGAGCGGCTATTCTATACCAGTCAAGATGTCTGTTACTATCGTCGAGGCTCACTGAGTGCTACAACAATCTAAGGGTTTGTTGTATAGATGTACGACGCAATCCGAAGTGAAGAGGACGGTATTGCGTTACGGACGGAGTATGTTTACTGAAGGGGAGATACAAGTGGATTATGAAGAGAAAGGTACCAACAACTAGAGTATACTATCGACCCGATTAGTGATGAGGAGGAGGGTGACTAAGGCGATACACTGGAGGAATGTTCCCCTTTATCAAGCGCAGTTAGCAAGGCAAGGTCCCTAGAAACCTGCTTCCAGAAAGAGAAGAGAACTTGTTGCATCTGAACCAGACACGTAAGGCCATAGACATTATAACGAAGAAGAAGATGGCCCTCTACCAGAGACACCGCAGCGTGTTGCAGGAAGATCAAGGAAGCCTCCGCGGTATAATGATGATCAGTCCATAGATTATCATTTGAGCTCTAGAACTGAACGCATTCACGCTTGTCCTCGACCTTAGATTTGGAGGAATACACTGCCTGTTAGCCAGATACCTATGAATAGGGCTTAGGAATGCATATCGCGAGGCTCTTCATCATTTATCTACCCGCAGGTTTGGGCGAGGTCTAGCCTCGTCCGATAGCTAAGAATTTCTTGCTTTCGAATGCGAACTCAGCGTGACTCCGTGACAAGGAGAAGTTCACCAAGATGAATGGGCGCGTGGAAATTGGAGCTGGAGATGACGGACAACGTTAATCTTTGGGGTATTTCTCAAATGAAATGACGCGGATGGAAGTATTTTAACCCATGAAGGCAGCAAAGTGAAGTCATCGAGGCAACGTCATAACCTAAAATTGAAAATTTATAACATAACTTTAGGGTGTGAAAAGGTTCACCAAGGAAAACAAACTCCGACAAATGCTTTTTAATACGCCATCATGCCTCAGTCAGTAGGGATCAAGCTGCACTTGCGTTTAGACACGCAGCTCGTCCAACTCGGCATCAGTGCGCGAGCTCTTCTGCCCCCTATAGTATATGGACGGGTTCCTTTGCAAAACAACAGCGGGGTGGAAGGCATTCATCACAACCATGACCAGGAACATCATCGTGGCATCAAAAACGTACAGAAAGACTTCGTGGCTGATGACGTAGCCATTATTTCCTTGGGCGAACTCAATCACACGATATACAGACCGGATCAAGATCAGCACGCTCGCAGTGTAAAGGGCGAACAGGAGACCTCGCCAATCGCGAAGGAATCTACTGGTTTTCGAGTTCTCAGCTTGTTGTGTAGGTGAACGACCGATTCTAACGTGGAAGAGCATGGAAGTGATGATGAAAGCTCCGAAAAACAGGAGCTGGACGCAGAGACCGGCGACAATAATCCACTGGCCAATGATCAGAAGATTTGCAGATCCGCTGCTGCTCATGACGCCACCACCGGCGCCTTGGAGCACGAAAGAGAGAACATCTCCCATCACGAAGATCCCAGTCATGAATCGGACAGGAACCAAGCTTAAATGCTCGCCGTGGAGAAAAACAATGATTCTACCAAGGACCATATAAATTGAGGCCGCATAGAGAGTTGGCGCCAGCAGAACGAAAAGGGTTTGCATGGCATAAAGAGTGGTTGATGTTGTGTGGAAGCGAGAGACGGCCCGAGCGGCATAACCGATAATCTGAACTTCACCGAGTATCAGGAGGTGTTGAAAGGATTGACTGGTTTCATGGATTATGGGGTGATGTACTCACAGATACCTCCGACAATAAAAGGGTTGAAGTATTTGGATTTGGTGCTGATCCGCTGATACAGGTGGAAAGCAGTGGTCAAGAAGAACAAGGCAGAAAAGATGATCGCAGCCACCAAGCTGGGGGTGTAATGGTAAAGAACATAAGTGGAGGAGGCCATGATGAAAGACTCGGACTGGCTGAGGTAATGGACTCAAGGTCGAATGCTCAGGCTAGATTGGAAATAACGAGATGGATGTTCAAGCGAAACCAGGAGACAACATGCACCTTAAATAAGATTGTGGATTAAAAGTTCAGGTTTCAAACCATCGATCTTGGAGATTTAGGTAACCGTGAAACCACCGTCTGGGCAATATACGACTTAAGTATTTTGGAACCCCTCTCTCTTCCCCCACGGAGTCTCCGTAGTATTTCCAAACAATGCCACAATACGAAAACCCGAATACGAAGAGATTATCCGTGCCTTCCAGCGCACCCACCGCTTTCGCTTATGGGTGCGCCCGCAATCCCCGTCATTCCGCAATCACCGTCACTTTTTAAAGAAATCGTCAAATTAACTACCAAACTAGCTAATTATCAATAAAAAAAGCTCTCCTGCTTCTCTCGCTTCTCTCTCATTTATAATTGCCCTCTGAATACTCTCCTCTGACTGCTGTGTAGGTTCGTAGCTATACACCTTTTTGAACTGCTTAGCTAGAAGCGGTGGGTGCGCTGGAAGGCACGGATACTCCCTTGCTCGGCTCCGAGCAAAAAATGTCAATAACAAGGCATTATCACAAGACAAAAGAAACTCGTCTGTCAATTTTTAAACGTTTTTTTGTGTACGTAATCTAACACACGTTCATCAGAAATGCACTGGTTCACAAGTAGTTTCATTGCCAAGACTGAAGATCTTACTGAGTATTTATCACGACCTAAAGCTTGGACTTCGCCCGCATGAGCCCTTCGCTAGATATTCCATACCTGCACTTCAAAAAAATAAATTGTGTACACCAACCTTGGACATCCGATCCGGTCTGCATAGATGAGGATGGAGGTATCTCGTTAATTTGAGAAAGCTCTACAACATGTAAATGGTATGCTTTCGGTATCCTTAGTGCTGGATTGTAACGTTAGTCGAATAATGAAACCCAGTGAATGAAGATAATTCAAAGGGCAAGTTTTCGATTCAGCAAAGAGAACTTAGATCGAGATTTTGCAACTTATTGGGTGTTAGAGCGGTACAATTGACACCTCTCGGATCGCATCTTCCGGCTCATCCTTTAATCAGAGTTCTCGTACTCGCATTGCTCGCAATCGAAATTCGGGACTAGACTGGGCCACACAGAACCTTTTTCATCCTTATAGGATATCTTTTCTTTTCCGTCTTTCTAGGAATAAAAAAAAGAAGAAGTACAAGAACTAATTCGATGCGAACTTTATTTTAAGGAAAACCCAATGGACCTGTGCACTAAGTTAGAAATAATGGCAGCGAAGAGTACTTCGAGTAAGGGTCCACTTTGTTTTGTAGATGATTTTCTCTTATTTCCGAAACCTTGCCTCAATCTTTTCCGACTACATTCCCATTATCTGAGGCGGCGACTAACTTTGACCCATTGAAAATCACCACCGGCGATAAGACGTTCACTAAAGACTCAAGATTGGTTAGCAAACTTGCTAAGTAGGCTTTACATCGATTGTATTTGTTGGCAAAATAGCCATCTTGCCTTTCAAAAGTATGATTCTCTGGGCTTGCATTCATCTAACCATCAAACCGATGATGTACTCCAACAGCATCGAATCAGAACCAAAGTTTACTCTGGGGATAAAATCTGCTCTTCATTTGACACCCCTCTTCCATGATCGATTTTATTCTTTAGTGCCTGCCAAGCATTGGGCCTCGAGGTCTGTCGAAGAGCTTTCGTCCATGTTCATAGTCTGGTCCGTCCTGTTATCCCAAATTTTAGTAGTCGCCAGGAGTTGAGAGTCCCATCACTAACCCTAAAGACCTCGGATGTCTGGTTCTGCTTTCTGCATTGAGAATGTCCAAGTTTCTCATTCGTACATCGCGCATGTATCGTTGTTGTTCGATTGTCGGTGACCATCGGGGATTGCGCGGAACGGAATAATGGCCAAACATAGCCGCTGCGAGCGAAACTGATGAAAGGCAGCAAACAAGAACGATCACGATCAGGGCAGCATTGCTGATAGTCATTTTGGGGGTAAGAAGTGGTAGACATGAAACAATTCAAATCTGCAAGTGGTCAGGAACAATTTTTGTTGGAACTGTGGAACCTCAACTAATTCCCTCCATGTTTAGCAACTGTGGCGGATGTCCAATTATAACCGATGTTCTTGTCGCTTATTACGTAGATTTTGCTTCAGCACATCCTTGTTGTAGGTTTTGCACTGGTTGGGTTGTATTTGAGATCAGCGCAATCCTATAAATAGCGACGTTCCATGCAGAGTCGGTGTAAAGCGCTGTTGCAGCGGGACCCACTGCTTGTTTTCGTATTCGGATTGCTGGGTTTCCATCTATGTGGATACATCAAATATCATAGACACATCAAACCGTGCTTCTAACTAAAATAAGCTTTGATAATTGCTGCTGCCTTAGGGCTATTAATCTCCATTCTCTTTTGGTTAGCCCAGGCCGAACCATTAAGCGCACGTCTTTCAGCCATAAAAACCAACCGTTGATCCCAAGCTATTGCATTTTGTTTCATTGCTTGTTATAACAGCACATATATCTCTTCGATCCTGGACTCCCGAAAAATTCCACACATTCGCTTTGTTATCCAATTTTATTTGGCTTTTTTGCCCCGCACAATGGCCTACACTCTCTACAATTACACGCCGTCGCTGGCCGCTGCCGTGGTTTTTGTCCTTCTCTTTTTCACTTTAACAGTCGGGCATATATTTCTCGCCTGCAAACATAAACTCAAGTTTTTGATTGCCTTTATCATTGGGGGTGTCTTTGAAGCAGTTGGTTATGGTGCACGAGCAGTCAATGCGCACGAAGCACCAAGCTATTCGACCATGCCGTATGCTCTCCAAAGTTTATTCATTCTACTTGCACCGTCTTTGTTTGCCGCATCGATCTATATGATTCTCGGTCGCATCATTCGCTTGACCGATGGAGACTCCCGATCCATGGTTCGCGGAACCAGGTTGACCAAAATCTTCGTCTCGGGCGATGTATTGTCGTTCTTCGTCCAAAGTGGCGGTCCGTATCCTATCCCCGACTTACATTCATGCTTTTGACTTGACTAACTCGCTTCCAGGTGGTGCAATAATGTCCAGTGCCAAAACCGCAAGTAAACTGAAGCTCGGAGAAGATGTTATCATTGTGGGTCTCATTATCCAAATCATCTTCTTTGGCTTCTTTGTTGCTGTATCAGTCATTTTCCACCAGAGGATGTCCAATAACCCAACTTCGGCTGCTATGGGGAGTTCGTTTGACTGGGTGCGCTACATGAGAGTCTTGTACTTTGCCAGTGCCTTGATTATGGTTCGTTGTCTCTACCGAGTTATTGAGTACATTCAAGGATCCACGGGCTTTCTGCAAAGTCATGAGTACTTGGCATATATCTTTGACGCGTGTTTGATGATGTTCGTCATGGGCGTATTCGTTATTTTTCATCCCAGCCAGATCTTCGCTGGCTACCAAGTGAAATCTGATGAAACCGAACTGATCTACGGGCGGCACGATTATGTGCAGCAAGCTTGAGCGCACCATTTGTGAACACTGCCAAATTTAGTAAAATAGATCAAGAGTCTTTTTCTACATTCATTGATCATGTATGGATGACACAAAAGCTTCATCCTGTTTCTAAGGAGACATACTCGGACTGTCTGTTTTCATTCCATTCATACGTCAAAGAGCCTCGCTAGCTCATATGATTTGGATCGGCGAATCATGATTGTCGTGGTATGAGTATGATGTTCAAGTGCCATCTGATTGATGAGCATACCAAATCATTCTGTGGATCTTGACTGCAGCTAGAAGTCTTTAATGCATACACCGCATGATAATTTATGATCTGATATCTCACTGAAGAAAGCCAGGATATTCTGTTCCAGCCATGTCAGAAAGCTTCCGCAGGGCTGATTTATTCCGTAGCTTCTCCGAAGGAAAAAGTCTTATCTCGCCTTTAACGTTCAATAAATAACGTATTTCACAAGCGTTCGGCCGCCACAAGCGTTCCGCCACCCCATCAATTTTTACGCGCCTCCATCTCCCACCTTTCATTTTTAACCCACCACTATGCCCCAACTTCGCGCTAGAAATAAGTAGGATTCTGTTCGTAAAGAGGGTAAGATCTTGCTTTCAATACAAGCTATTCAAAATAGGTCTATCGCCCCTATTCCTGCCCCAGCACGCGTATGTACCGCGTTCGACCGCGGCGCACTTGCGAAGCCCACTACACGCACACAACCGTAAATTGACATATCCTCACTGGATGGGTTTTATCTATGGACGACCGTGGTGCAGCGCCTAGACCACCTATAGTGCGCGTGATGGCAATTTTACTACTCGCGACCACTAGTAATGATACCGTAGGTAAAGACTGGACTACAAATTAAGTTCAGCGTACACCAGCACTTCAAACACGCTTTTTACGTCGATATAACTACTCGCATGCACCACAAGAAGACCCACGTACCCTACGTGAGTGGTTTAAAGGTGTGGAAGATACTGTTACTCAGTATGGTATCCTATGTGAGGAAATCTACAAATTTGACGAAACAGGCTTCGCTATGGACCTATGTTCTACCGCAAAGGTGGTAATACGTGCAGAATACTACGGTCGGAGGTCGGTTATACAGCCAGGGAGCCGCGATTAGGTTACAACGGTCGAGGCTATTAATGCGTGTGGGTGGGTGCTACCGCCGTTGATTAACTTTAAGGGCAAGCGATAACTTGAATCCTGGTTCTCTATCGATATACCTGAGGACTGGAGGTTCGAGGTTAGCCCAAATAGGTGGGCAAATGATGCTGTTGGGCTTCGATGGCTTCAAAGCTCTTTAATCCTGCAAGAACTAATCGTTTACGTGGACGATATAGGTTGTCAATCCTTGACGGACATTGTACGCAGTTAGTCATTTAACACCTGAATTGGACCAAATCTGCGCCACAAACGATATTATACCTATCTGTATGCCTGCGCATAGCTCACATCTATTATAGCCACTAGATGTGGGCTGCTTCGCGGTGTTAAATCGGTCATATAGTGCGTTGGCGGATCGATAGGTGCGGTGTGGTATTAACCTTATCAACAAATTGACTTTCTAACCGTTTATCCACACCCTCGTACAGACGCTTATAAGATAAATAGTAATTTAAGCGCTTTTAAAGCGACTAAAATAGTACCACTTGACGCAGAACCGGTGTTATCTACGCTGGTTGTTCAGATACGTACACCTACACCAGTATCATGACCATTATTACCCTCAAACACCTGCGAATATTGAGCAGCTTATCAAACATGAGGCTTCAACTAAGCGTGTACTCAAGATTAGGTGAAACAGGTTTAGAAAGCATGTGAGGTGTATGCTAAAGAAAATCTTCTGCTACACGATGTAGTGCATCTTTTACACGCAGAACTATACAAGAAGACCCAAAAAGACACTACCAAAGCGAAAGATAGAGAGAGAAGAAGAAGAAGGTATATCAGTGGGTGAAGCTCATGAGCAAGGAATTGGTGTATTACATGAGATAGAAGATGGTGCGGTGGTCTCCGCAACACCGATACACAGGGGTGTAGAGACTAGCGATACGACCAAAAGACGTCAATATCTATGTGAAAAGTGTAGAAGACCAGGGAATAGGGCGTACGCTTGTACTGAAGTAGTTTGAATTGAATATACAGGTGTTATGGTGGTTCGAATGCTTCATGAACATAAATTAGGTGGGTGGGGTGGCGAAACACTTGTGAAATATATTATCAGAACTGCATTCGAAACGCCATTCCCAGGTTAGTTGGCCGATCTGCGATTCATACCAGCCTGCTGCTTCGGGCGACTAGAAATCAGGATTGAAAACTACGGCTACAAGGATATGAGAGGTAATTTATGAGCTTGAAGGTACGTACAATTCTAGATTTGAGCGGATCCCGATACTTTTCTATATGCGAATGCGAAATCCGAATACGAGAAGGGTCGAACCACTCGCATTCGGATTTCTAGCCCTGTTTGCCCCGAAGTTTGTCTAACGTCCATAATGCGGCTAGCTCAAGTCGGATTTGCGATTTATTTATAGATATTTCTTTAGAGCTTCAATCTGACGCTTCGGACAATACTTTGTACTCCGTAGAAAATAAGAATACTCTGGTTCCATATAGTCGCATTCTGCCACCGTGATCCGCTATAATGATAATTTTAAACCCTCTACGTAGACGTACCACTATTTATATTTTTCGTTTCCGAATTTATGTTTCGCGGTTCCGAAATTATAGGTCATCCATATGCGTTTCTATTATGATGTCATTGGGGTCTTTAACTGAGCAAAAACCTCGTAGGAGTCTCCATTTGCTTAAGCTCCAGACTGGCTGGGTCGTTATCCGGTGAATTGACGTGAGTCATCAATCCTTGGTCAAAATTCAGAAAACATAAAAGAGAGTTGATGAGTGTAGCATTCAGTAAAAGCAAGGAGAAACTTGCAAAGAGAGTTATGGACAACCCAGCGGAGGTGTAGTTGGTGTGAACTCGAACTATAGCAAGAACCAAAAATGCCATTGTGATCAACATCAGAAACTATAGAGTCCATTAGCTCTAGCTACAATGGTCATTATCGGTGATCCTCACCATCATGCTGATGAAAGATTTCCTCTTCTCTCGTTTGCAATAGTATGCTGATAGTACCAAGTTGGCGATGGCTATCGGTACTAGAGCAGCATTGACAATGAAATCGATGCTTTCGAATCTGACAACGATGAGAAGAAATTGAAGTTGTGTTCCAAACACAAAGAACAAATCGAATTTCAGTAGTGCGATGTACACCTGCATGTGAGATGTTAGCGCAGACTTTGAAAAAATTGCCGGAGTTACAAGGTTGCAGCAAACCTGATATGTAAGATACCGACGTTTCATCTGTAAATCTGCACTAATATTCTTGTAGAAAGACCACGAGAATTCAGCTCGTAACTTCCAAGTAAGGAAAGTCAAGCAAAGGGTGCCGACGGCCAAGATAGTCGGCACCAGAATAAGGACCATACGATATAAGTGAAGCAGACGTGTGTCAATTAGAGCATTTGCCATCATGCTTCTTAATGTCGGTTCGATCTCCTGCATCTGGAGGACGCCATATGCCGTCAGGCCCACGTTACAGAAACATAGTCCGACCAGTTGTATTGTGTTTCTATGACGCAGCGCATCGTATGAGAGTGCTAGCTCGTACAGAAGTGCAAATACATAAAGGCCCAAAAACGACTGCAGGTGGGAATCTGTGGCCCCTGTGTTGTCGCCCAGGTGAGCCCAAAGACTCATGAGAACCCAACTATAACAGAGTCAATCAAGTCAAATATGGGTTTTCGGTAATCACTGGACTTGAATACTTACACTTCAATCGCAACTGTGAATATAGTTTCGGTTATCACGGTTGTCGCGAACATTCGCGTCCATAGTGAGTTTAGCATGTAAAGAAGAGGTCGCCCAGAGTTTGGTGTTTGGCCGGAATCGTTGGGCTCATTGGCGCCCGAACTTGTCGACACCGTCGACATTGAGGTTTGCGATCTCTTGGACTTGATCGAGGATCGGTCATGATCATGAAAAATACCAGGGTCATAGCTGGTATGCTGATTTATAATATCAGGATATGACATGATGGCCAGGATGAGTACAAATAAACATGAAGACCAGGGGCCAAGTGGTAGTCTTTTTGAATGATAATTCAATTATTCTGTTATTAAAGATCTTAGTCTACCCCTTTTCGGAGTTAAGCCTACAACGGATCTAGACATTCGTCACGGGTAGCTCGACTACTCTATCTTGTCAATTTTCTGGTCCACTGCGAACGGGTTATTGGAACTAGTCAAAATTTGACAAAGAGGCGGGTCAAAAGGTTCGAGCTAGTGAAACTGTCTAGAGTACGGAGGTCCATCCCAAAAGTCTTTCGATAATTGCTTTTTCTAGTAATTTTGAATAGTACTAGCGTCGTTTTTGGCCATACCCGTCCTTCTGGCATTTACCCCTCCGTCAACCTCTGTCAATCTCTCTGGCAATCTCTTAACTATAGTTAAATACGATATCGCTACGCGTACTGCCGTAATTATGATGTCTGTTTTTGGTGTTAAACCTCGCCATATTTCCGATTGGACTAATATACCTACTGAAACCGTCAAAATAATCTATAAGCGAGCTGTTGAGCGTGGATTTGATCCTTCAAAACGACCTTTTACCTTAATTAATACCTACGTCGCTAATGCGTCTCGTTCTAGCCGCCTAAGAAAGTATACGCCTAAGCTCAAGACTACGCTAATTTCCCCCGCTTTGTTCGCTTCGTATTCGTGTTCATCACCGTGTTTCACTTTTCGTGCAGCCATCAGAGAGAATTTGAACCCCCTTAATCGCGTACGTGGTCATCCCTTTTCCTGCTGTGGATTTCGAACTTCTTGGACTCTTAAACAAGAAAACTATTGAACTTAGGCAGTGGACTAACAATAAGCTACCTGCTACTATAACGTAATTCCCTCCCGACCGTGCCACCCGCCCGACCGGCCACCATCAAGAATTTCAAAATCGATTGTCTCCATCAACACCCATACAATTTTCTATTGCTAACGATTCTTACATTAATTAATCCTATGCCTAATTACCCCACACCTACTACACGTAGGAGGTGCCCTAGTACGTGGTGGATCTGCCTAACTAGGCAATTCGCCCTATCTATGCGATACTACCCTATTAGCTTCTTCCTGCTGATTTAGCTGCTTCACTAGTTATAGACCTTCTTTAACCGATAGACTACCCTTATAGGGTATTAGTCTATGCGACTGGTTACGTTTCTAGCGCTTCTTCTTATTCGCTACGCGTAGATTCGTATTCTCTTAAGTAAGTAATATAGTGCTATATAAGGTGAGATAGTGATCCTTAATAATCTAATCTAGTAAGATCTTCGATAGTGTCGGAGGGCTATTTAACCGTTACTTTAGTAATTACTTAAGCGAGGATACTTACTTATATAATTAGATCACTATCCTAGGCGTCTTGAGCGTGAATTAACTAGATCTACTGCTTAGTCTGCTACTTAGGGGTATAGGCGTTCGTAGAGAGATATTTAGCGTTATAAGGATCCTCCCTAGGTGAATTAGATTTAGACCAGTCGCGACGAAGCTATTTTAAATAGTACTTAGTATAAAGGCTTCTAATCGCGCGCGTTAGTAATCCTCTAGGAAATTAAGCTTATCGATATAGTTATATCCTACGCGGATAAGATCGCTTACGAAGCGACCGTACGCGCGCTTTAATACCGTAAAGTACCTAATATTAAGAGGTTATAGGGTATACGATAAATACGTAGGTATATAAAGAGGTATAATATCGTTTTCTATATAGATTCGGTCGAATTAGGGTATAAGGTGGCTACGATAGCTATTAAGGATTAATAGCCGAAACCGATCTCGTACGCGCGAATTCGTGTATAGAATAAATGTTAATATATGGATATTGTGGGGTCATATGACGAAGGACCCACTCATATAACCCCTCTCTATATCTAGATCTTCTTCTCTATAAGATCTATCGAATTGATCCTTAACGATCTTACATTAAATTATATACTCGTATTGAATTACCTACTTAGGTAGGAGACTATCTAATACTCTAATACTCTTTGCTTTCTTATATGATCTTTACTATGTTTCCAAGATATAAATACTACTATGTTTCCTAACTAAATTGAATCAAGTTTATCATCCTTTATGATCTCTCTTCTAGATCAGTAGTACTCTTCTATAATCGTGGTACTTCTCCTTCATAGAAGTGCGCACGACCGATAGACTTATAACCGTGTATTTAGATACTATATTAAGTATTTACTAATCCTTATATACACTATCGTCTTATTTGTATAACCACGACTTTATAGTCACCGCCTAGAGTCCGATAGTTATAAGCCCGACGCCTCTACTCTAACTACTTAACTAATTTAATTCAATCTTCTCTTACTTTACTCTCACTCTTACTTTACTTCTCACACAGAAGCGATAGATTTAACTACTCTATAAGCTACCTAGCTTAACTACCTATTAAAATCTTACGCACACTAGGTTCCCTAGATTACTACGGTTAAAGACTATATAATCGTACACGACCTATAGAAATACGCTAATCCGGACTAAGCTACTCCGTCTACCCCGCCTTAGGAACTAATTAAACCATAGATATCTAATATAATTAGAAACCCTACTAATATATATAGGGTAACCCTATTAGTACTACCCCAAAACCCTAGCGGCACTACCTAGGGCCTGATTTCTGCCTGATTACTACTAAGCTTTTTATACCTATTAATTATAAATTTAACTACCCCCTTCCTTCTTATATATACGCATCCTTTCCTTCTAACTTCCCTTCTATCTTCTCCTACTAGGAAAGTCATATAACCTATATACTAATTCAATTTAAATTCTATCTACTAGGCCTAGCTAATTCGCCCTTAGCTAATTCGCTACTTACTAATCTACCTTACCCTTCTCTTTAATTACTTCTCCGCTAGCACTAATTTCTTAGCCTTACGACCGCGGCTAGCCCTACGCCCTTACCGAAGTTTCGTCTCCTAGTTTAATAGTATTCGCCTTATTATTATATTAGTTCTCTTTAAAGGCGGTAGTACTATAATTCCTATAGTTTTATCTATAGAAACGTATATACCTCTACTTCGCTTTCCCCTAGACTTCCGACTAATAAAATTCCTTCCCCCCTATCTCTACTAACGCTTTATAGTCTCTAGTAACTTCGGTCGTCTAATCCCCTTTACCCGATTCGGTTCGTTAATTCGAAGCCTTCCTACCCTTCTAATTCGCTACCGATTAGTCCGAATTACTAGATTCGGTAGGCGTAGCTAGTGTTATTAGTTAAAATCGGAAGGAAGAAGGGACTTACTACTATCTATTAGATCTTTAATTATATAGTTATATAGAAGACTAAGAGATTTCTAATAGTATTAAGTATAAGAGGGTAGTAGCTTCTCTACTCGGATAAATCCCTACTAGGTATTATATACCTTTCGAATAGCGCTTCTTAAGACCCGACCGAGGAGATCGCGTAAAATTAGAACTTAAAGTAAGATAGGGTAGCGGTAAATTTCGTCTTAAATTAAGTTAAATATCTACGAATATATATAGGAAACGACTTAGGAAACGACTTATATAGTTATAAGAATATTACCTATTAAAGTTCGAATTTCTCGCTTAAGCTTTATATAGGCGCCTTCTACGCGAGATAAAGTGAGCTCGTTATAATAGAGAATTCTATTAAGATAGTACCGTATAAATTACTTTACCCTATCACTAAACTACTACTTTTTAATATAATCGGTTACTAGTTAGTAGATCGGATCGCTAAGGGCTTCTAGAAAAGAGGCTTTTCTTACTTCTATCCTATCTTTAGTAGGCTCGAGGATAATTTATATAAATTTAGCCTTTATAGATCGCTATTCGTTAATAGTCTTCTTTAGAACTTCGAGAAGGTCCTATAAGAGTAGTTACTTTATAATTATTAGCCGAACGCGGGTCTTAACGTTCTTTATAATATACTAGAGATAAATTAGGCTAGTTATATCCTAGAAGACCTCCCTATATATATTTAAAAGAGCGTCTACGTCGTCGGAGAAGATAATACCTAGAGCTTAAATCTTTACCTATATAAGCTATATTTAAAGAGCTTAAAATATCTAAAGATATAACGATTCTTACTTATTACTAATAAAGTAATAGGCTACGTAGAAGGTTTTCCTTATTAAAGTTTATCCGACAATATTAACTATTAGTATATTATACCTAACCTAAAAAAATTAGTAATCTCTTATCTTTCTCTTATCTTACCTATCTTATCGATTAGTCTTATATATAGTATCTATCTATAGAAGATTTAGATAAATACGAAGAAATTAAAGGCCTATCCTTAAGATAAACATAATTCTGATTAGTCGCTATTAGCTATCTAATTCGTGTTATATAATCTATCCTAGTAGGCTTTCTATTATAGCTTTAATCGATATACGCCCGCTAAGGAAAATTAATCTAGTCCGGGCGCGGAGGTTTTTAAGGTCTCTTAAGTTAAGTAGACTCTTCTTAGACTCTAAAAGTGTTAAAATTACTAAAGGTTTTAGGCCTTTTTTAAAGTAATCGAAGAGTCGCTCTTCCTTATTAGCTCTCTCTTCTTACCGTAGCGGAACTAGGAGATTTAGTAGAACTAGGCTATAATTATATTTACTATATTTAACTATAATCTTATAACGGTCTAGAATAACCTTTTTCCTATCCTTCCGAAGGTAGATTTAAATTATATATAGGTAATTAGTCCTAATCTTATTAACCTCTCGCTATTTAGCCTTACTTATAGTAGAAGGACCCTTCTTAGTCTCTAGCTAAAGGTAATAAGATAGTTTAACCCTTTCAGGATTAGACCTTCTTATAACTAGGGTAAAGCCCTATTCTTTAGTAGATTCCTAGAGGGCCTTCTTCGTAAGGTCACAGGTTTTATAGAATTGTGGTAGATCTAGTTATAGTATAGGTAGTAAAATAGACTGTGAAGAAGAATCCATAGTTAGTGGGGGGCGCTAAGGCCTAGTACTAGACGAGAGAAGTTAAATTAAATTAGT